TTTTCCTGGCAATTGTAGACAGTAGATTGAAGCAAAATTGTAGACCCAAGAGATCTTAGTACCATTAACAGAGGAAACAATATCCTCTTGCAACTGTAGATCACAAAATTAAAAAGGACAAAATTACCTTTTGTATAGGTAAACCAAATCAGTGTTTTTGGGTTAATTCTCGGGTTAATTTAAGTTATTTTTTTTACTTTATACACAAAATATTGTTACTAATTATTAGACCTAAGACTCAGTAACAGTTTCTGTACATAGGTACATCGTAAAAGAAAACCTACATTTTCCTGGTATTTGTCGAGTGTACATCCAAATTATAAGAAGCAAAATTGTACACAAAAGTGTTCTCAGTAACACTCAGTGATTTGCTTGGTTTATTAACTCTATATATACATTAGAAAAATATTTTTATCCTGGCCGTTATAGGTAAGGGTTAGCTAACTTGAACAAAAACCAATTTTGAATTTTGAATAATCTTAGATTAAAACTGATTCACACCAATGTAATTTACACTGTGTTGATGATTTATATTTCTTAGGAGAGTGCTCAAATTATGCAAGTTTGAGGGAAAATTTGGAGAAATATCAGGAAGTAGGTATGTGGAATTATTTGGAAAATCCAAGGAAACATAAGAAAACTTTACCAAATAAGAGGGATTTTCTATGCAAAGGACATGGCACGGATTATATGGAAACTAAAGGCCAGTCGATTTTTTTTTTTAAATTTTAATATGTTGTAAAGTGAGGGAAAAGAAACAAAAGTTACCATGGACCCACTGTGCCCCGACCAATAGGAGACCCATTAAATGAGTTTAAAGAAATCTTGGAAGAAGACCGAAAATTATTGTTTCCTTGTCAGCTACAAAGTTTCTTTTGAATAAAATATCTAAGGATTTACCCCCAAAAAAAGGAATAGTGAACAAGGCGAACTCCCAACCCCCATGAGAGACAGGACAGAAAACAGTTCTATAAATTATGTGCCATTATTGTTGATTATTGTAACTGTTATCATAACATTGGTACCTTTTAATACAAATCATGGCCTTGTTTATTCACCGTTTTCAAAAAACTGTTGATATTTAGAATGTACAAACCTGTGAGAGTGTGCGGAAATCAAAATTAGCGTGCTTTACAGTCCAGTGAGAATCGGAATATTCGTTGGATTGTTCAACAAACTAATTTGAATTTTTACAAGATAGCTAAGTATTCACCTAACATTAGGAAGGATCAGCAAGTGTAGAGGAAGTAGGAAAGCTTCCAAGGAAATGTTTTAGAAATCCTGAAAGTAAGAAGATCTTGAAGAAGATGATCAAAATATGCATGTTTAAGGGAGAGTTTGGAAAAATATCAGAAAATAAGAGGTAGTTTCTATGCAAAATTTGAGACATGTTGGTCTGATAAATTCATTCCTTAGGAAGGATCATCAAGTGTAGAGGAAAGTAAAAAAAATTTCAAGAAAATTTCCCTAAGAAGTAAGAAGATACTCAAATTATGCAAGTTTGAGGGGGAGTTTGGAGGAATATGAGGAAGTATGGAGAATTATTAAAGAGTTCAAGACAGTAGGTCAAGTAGGAGAAAGTTTCTATGCAAACTTTAGACAGTGGATTTCTCTCTTGGTCTGATGATTCTGTGAATGATTTTTTTCCTAGAAAAGGATCACATACCTAATTACAAAGAAAGTAAAAAAAACTTTCAAGGAAATTTTTTGAAAATCCTTCCATATAATAAGATGCTCAAATTATACAAGTTTTAGGGATAGCTTGGAGGAATATAGGACAAAGAAGTATGATCTTATGTGGGTATATATATATATAAAATCTTCTCTTGTAAGAACCACAAAATTTGCAAACTGATACATCAAGATTCTGGATTTTGAGAATTTTCAGAGAAATATGAAAAAAATTGCAAAGTAATGACTTCAGAATCCAAAGTTTCTAGACTCTTTTCACAAGAGCACCAAAAAATCTTTACGGCTTGCAAAATTCAGGATTTTCATATCCATAAAATTCATATACCAAAAGTCCTATCAAAGAAAAACAGAATTTCTGCGAAAAAATACTAAAAAATCTGAAGGCCTTGTGAATATGAAGGGATCTGATTTTATTCCTGAAACTATATTTCCAAATTAGCTGAAATTTTCAGGGATTTTAGTCCCCTACTGGAATAAGAATCGCTAAAAATTTCAGCTTTATAATAGAAAAACAGTTATGATCTTTTAAAGTTTTCCAAAATCTAAATCATAAGTTAGGTACAGGGTTATAAATGTCACCCCCTCTATCTTTTTTATTTGACATTTTAGAAAAAAAGTGTTCCAAATAAAAGTTTTATGATTGAAATTAAATTTTTTGAAAAACCCACTTTTGCATATACAGGGTGTCCCACGGTGGATGGCGTATTAGACGTCAATGGAGAACTAAAAAGCGGATCATTTTGAAAATTTGGTAACTGGGATAAACGACCATAATCTACACTTTAAAAATATTTTTGTTTATACGGTGTTGCCGCTTCTACTCCATACCAGTGGCAACATCGCTATTTTAAATGGATCACCCTGTATGTGATTGCACATTTGGATTCTACGTAAAATTCTTAACAGATTTCATGTGATATACCCTATACCTAAGTTCAACCGTTTTGGAAATATTGACAGTTGAAAATTGACTTTTTGCAACTTTGACAGGCTATAAAATCTGAGCAGTTAATTTTAGAGGAAAACCGATTTCACATTCCTATCTTAGATTTTTATAAACTATCATTTGACACCAACTTTGAATTTAATCCATGATTAAAAATTTCAATTAAATTTAATCTTTGGTTAAATTCAAAGTTGGTGTCAAATGATAGTTTATGAAAATCTGAGATAGGAATGTGAAATCAGTTTTCCTCTAAAATTAACCGTTTAGGTTTTACAGCCTGTCAAAGTTACAAAAAGTCAATTTTCAACTGTCAATATTTCCAAAACAGTTAAACTTAGGTATAGGGTATAACGCATGAAATCTGCGCAGAATTTTACGTAGAATCCAAATATGCAATCACATACAGGGTGTTCCATTAAAAATAGCGATGTTGCACTGGTTTAGAGTAGAAGCGGCAACACCGCATGGTCAAAAATATTTTCAAAGTGTAGATCATGGTCCTTTATCGCAATTGCCAAATTTTCAAAATGATCCGAATTTCAGTTCTCCATAAACCTCTAATACGCCATCCACCGTGGGACACCCTGTATAGGGTGATTGAGAAACGCTGGTCGTTTTCCAACTTTCTTATTTTAAATGGAATACCCTGTATATTATTGGATATTCGGATTCTACATAAAATTCTGAGTAGATTTAATTGATATACCCTATACCTAAGTTCAACTGTTTTGGAAATATTGACAGTTGAAAATTGACTTTTTTACAACTTTGACAGGCTGTAAAACCTAAACGGTTAATTTTAGAGCAAAACCGATCTTACATTTTTTTCTTGGTTTTACAGCCTGTCAAAGTTGCAAAAAAGTCAATTTTCAACTGTCAATATTTCCAAAACAGTTGAACTTAGGTATAGGGTATATCACATGAAATCTGCTCAGAATTTTAGTAGAATCGGAATATTCAATAATATACAGGGTATTTCATTTAAAATAAGAAAGTTGATGCACTATTAGCTTTTTTGAAACACCCTGTATATGTGAAAGTGGATTTTTCAAAAAATTTAATTTCAACCATAAAACTTTTATTTGAGACACTTATTTCTAAAATGTCAAATAAAAAAGATAGACATTTATAACCAATAACCCTGTACCTACCTTAGTAGGTACTAAAGCGATGAAATTTAATTTTTTTTGTTGTTCAGATTTTGTGTATCAATGATCCTTTGGAATCCCCCAAATTCCATGTACTAAATTATTCTGAGATTTGAAGCAGGATTCTATGAAAAAAGGCACTCGGAAAAATTGGAAAATTGATAAATCACCAAGAAATTTGGAATGTTCTGGGCCTGCAGGATCTTGAGATCTGTAGAATCTTTTCAAGGAAAAATCGAACTTTTGCAAGGACAAAGGTCTGAAAAATCTGACAGAGTCTAAGTAAAGAGAATTTTGTCGTAGAAGAACCATAAAGTTTGCAAGGCAAAAACTCAAGATTTAGGATTTTGAGTTTCCTCAGAGAAAAAATCAGGAAATTAGCAAAGTAATAACCCAAAAATATCCTCTTAGAAAAGTCGGGAAGTTACAAACTGATAGATATTTCAAGATTGAAGAATCTAGTATTTTTAGAGAAATTTAAGGAAAGCAGAATTCAGAAATCAGGATCTGAATCTTCACAAAATCTTCAAAACAATTTCAATCACCGCAGGGTTCAGAATCTTAAAACCTGGATTTCAAAAAGAAATTGTTCTCAGGAAGTATGAGAAATCTTTATCAATTAAGAGGAAGTTTCCATACAAAATTTGGTTGGTGTATTTTTCTCTGGGTCTGATGACTTTGTGCATAAATTATTTTTCTAGAAAAAGATGACCAAGTGCAAACAAAATAAGAAAACTTTTAAGGAAACTTGAAATTCCTGGGAGGTAACAGGGTATTCAAAATTCAAATTATTCAAGATTGAGGGGGAGTTTGGAGGAATATAAAGAAGTACCTACCTACTACATTTGGAGAATTATTTAAAAATTTCAAGGAAGTAGGTATAAGAAGTCTATCAAATAAGAAGAAGTTTCTATGCAAAATTTGGGATTGTCCTCTTTATCTGATGACTCTGTGATAAAGTTTTTTTCAGCAAGAGAATTATCAGTTTCACCCTTAGACATCTTGAATCTTGTTTTTTTATACATAGTTGATCTTCTATAGTAAAACATACTGGCTTACATAAAACGTATATCTGCTATCCCAATGAGGAGGTTAATACGAGGAAACTTACCATTTTCATGAGATTGTCATAAGACTTTTTATAACTCTTATACAATGCTATTATTTACTAGTAGCCAGAGTTAGCCTCACTCATTACTCATTAATTTTTCTAGGAAAAAAATGTTAAAATCACTGACAACTGCATCAACATTACATTAAATAAAACGCAACCTGGTTGGTGGCCAAGACTAACATCTACACCCCAAAAACCAATATGGTTAAAAATCGATTTCAATAAATGGCAATCAGAAGATGATTTCTTAGAGGAAAAAGTTAATAATGTTACAGAAGATTATCCAGACGTTTACAAGCATTTAATGAAAAACGAATTAGGATATATTAAAGGTTTGCAACCACTCCATTATGTAATATTGAAATTAATTATTGTATTGTAGAAGATTTCAAATCAGTCTACATGGTGTTCTACAATCTAGCAATGCTCTGTGCCTTTTTATACGCCCTCATAATCCTTACAATGACTATGGCGAAAAACGGTTTTGAAGAAACAAGTTATACCAATGTCTACCCAATTGTTGGACATGTACTGTGTATAATTCATCTTTTCCAAGCACTGGAAATAATGCATCCGATTTTTGGTTACGTAAAAGGCAGCCCTTTTATGCCTTTTTTGCAAATAGTCGGCAGGCTGTTTATACTTTTTGGTAATTTGGAATTCGAGCCTCGATTACAAAAAATGCCAGCCACGACTTGGTTGTTTTTTGCTTGGATTTATAGCGACTTAATTAGGTAAGAATTTTTTAGTTTTGTTCCAATATATTTGTGCCAATGAATAATAATTCCAGATATGTTTACTACATTTTCCATATATCTGGCTCCAAAAACTCCATAAGACGATACGTTTATCCCTTTGCAAAATGGTTAAGGTACACGGCCTGGATTATTCTTTATCCAGTTGGTTTCTTGTGCGAATCTGTAATAATATTTAGAAACATTCTTTATTTGCATAACGAGCCCAGACTCTATTTGCGTTTGCCCAATGTTTACAATGTAACATTTGATTATTTGACGTTTTTGAGAGTTTATATGCTTTTTATAATGTTCCCAGGCATGTATACGCTTATTAAGTACATGTATAAGGCCAGGACGAAAAATTTGGGTGGCAGCGAGCCATTTGATAAGTTGGGTTTTTCCAAAAAGAAGGTAGAGTAAGCTAAAAAAAAAATATTTATTTATTTGTGCACTGCATTTTTGTGGTTTGTTTAGGTGATAATTTTTAAAGGTTGTTGTATTTTTTGTTTCTTTTTTTATAATTTTTTTTACTTGAATAAATATAAAAATATTAGCTTAGAAAATATTATTTTCCTCTTGAGTAAGCATAGGGAAAAATGTATCAATAATTTAAAACACTTAAAACAATAAATAAAAATAAAACTTAAGAATAAAACGTTAAAACCGAGGTTTGATTGCCTCTGACAAGCAAAACTGGAGGCATTTCTTTGGTGAGAAGTTCCAGCCATGCCAAATAAGTAGCAGCGGACACGATATTTTTTCTTGGAATTGGTAAAGTGACCACAACCATTTCAGCTTCACTAGAATGTTCTAGCAACAGCTCTCTCAGCCTCATGTGACGGTTTGTTTTGTCTTTGACCGCCATCAATTCCGAATCTGTGATAGAAACTGCAACAACAATTACAAATAATAGTGGTTGAAATTATTTGGAAAATTACTTACTTTTAGTGTCCTGTTCGGAGTTTTCCGAGACGCACTTGAAACCAGCAATGAGCGACTCGAAAAATTGTTTAGTTTCGTCTTTTGGTTTTTTGGTAATGTCCGGTACGATTTGCAAATCCGAATACTCGATGCGGAATTTCGCCAGCATGCTGGCCATATTTCTGTGCTCCATTTCTAAGCCTTCGCGATTGTTGGCCAAAGCGAACACGCGCAACTTGCAACTGCTCCAGTTTCTTCTAGTGCTCAATATGTAAGGTAAAAGTAACGTCAGACCTAGAGGAAAAAGAACATAATATTACAGAGTTAAGGAAAAACAAGTATTCCTGCACAAGATCAATTTAGAAAATACGCTTAGGATTATAGTGGTTAAGGGCCCATATGCTCTAGGTAGCTTTTAAACAGTGGAGACCAGAGGTCCCTGCTCGGGCGCCAAATTTGTAGCGCTACTTTGATTTTCCGGTAAAAAAGCGGCCGGTTAGGGCTCACTGGTCCCTGCTTGGGCGCCAAATTTGTAGGTAATGGATAAGATGGTAAATTTACCTCCATCATCGTACAACCACCAAACGTCAATGGTTCCTTTACGTTTTTGCTTGTGAAACGTATACAGGTTGGTAACATTTTGTTCGTTTTCAATTTGGCCTTCCGAAGGGAAATCCGGTACCGATTCTGTAACCGATTTTATTATTTTGCCGTTGTTCGGAGCATCATTAACCCTGTCTTCTTGATTTCTAAGATTGTAGGACCTTTCACTGCTGCTACTTCCTAAAATAATAAAAACTTTTTACAAATAAAATGTATGATATAAAAATTACCTTGTGATATTTGGCTGTACGATAAATTCCTCCTAATTAAACTAGGGCTGGATTTGCTTTTTTGATCAATATCAGCGAAGCCTTCATTTATGTCCAAGCCTTGTTGAAGTCTTAGAATCACAACTCCCAAATGTAAGTCGAATGCGTTACTAAAAATCTTTAATTAAAACTTCGAAAAACTACAAAAGTTCCTTACTGTAAAATTTCAAAATAATTGTTCAACTCCTCGTGGGGGCAAGTTTGCCAGTCCGACTTGTAGCCCATCATCAAAATGTTGGGCTTCAATTTGCCGATGCCGCAAGTCTTCAGAAGAGCCCTGGCGCCTTCTTGGAAAGACACGCCGTCCACTTGCTGGTAAAAAGCCTTTAGTTTTCTAGCCTTCAACCAATCGTTGGCCTTGTAGCTGAGTACTTCTCTTACTCTTTGAGACAACGGACTCTGAAACGAATGAATGAAGTTCGAAGAAATTTGGAAAAATTCTAAAAAGTTGGGCGAATTAGGTAATAAGGAAATCTGACGAAGTTGCAAAAAAGTATAAAGAAGATCAAAGGAAATATTTATAAAGCAATGAAGAAGTGTAGATGAAGTGAGGGAAGTTTGCAGAAATTCGGGGAAGAACAACTGAGACACCTGCAAGGAAGTCTTGGAAAGGTTAGAGCCTGGGTTATGGAGAATGGATTTTTCAGCCCCCTCCAAGGAAGTGTAGATGAAGTGAGGAAAGTTCGTTGAAATTTGGATAAGAACACATACGGGGAGAGAAGAATTATTAAGCAAATCTGGGGAATTTCTAAGGAAGTTTAAATCCCATAATATTCTTACCGTATTGATATGACCACAAACCAACATCGACAAGTTTTTGGTTATGAAATGAGCGAATTCTACGAGAGCGGGTCGAGCGCTGGGCATTCCAGAAAGTATCAGAATCTGAGGTCGGAAATTTTTCACATGCTCTTCTACAGTGTTCAGTTGTTGCGCGGCGCTGAGGGCGTTTTTGTAGATTTGCGCTTGAGTCGTCGAACCCCAATTCACATCTGAAAAAAATTGACGGTATAGAATATCTACTATAATATAATTGGAGTTGTGATTTTGTGTTTGTATGATCATTTGAAAAAACTTTGTCAAGGGACTCTTCTGAAGTCTAATAAGTGGCTCATTCTTCAAGCTTACAACATTTATTTTACAAAAGTTACACTTACTTGGTTTCCCATAAGACACTATAAGGTACAGGGCCAGTATTGCAGCAAAAGTCAACAAAGCAGTCCACCATGATATCAGAAACATTACTAAGACACACAGGATCGATCCTGCTAAGCTCAGCCACATGTTATAATACTAAAGAAAAACTATATATTGGATAAACTGGTAAGAGCATGTTTTTTTTTTTTAAATAAAGTGGTTGCACCTGCTGGTTTATTTAGACTAAAAATTCAGTGCACTCACTTCACTTTTGAGAACCCCACAACCAGAAAAATCACATTAACTTACTTAGCTACCTTAAATGTAGGTCTCCATCCTACCGGCTTGGCTAGAGATGCGTGAAACGTGGAAAAATTTATCAGCATGTAGGCGGCCAAGAAGAAATTCGATATTAATGGAGCAATTAAATTCAATTCACCTATAAAGGAAATAATGTAAAAGTCTTCACAAACATTTTATGTTTATCTACCAATTAAAATGAAGCCAATAGCAATAACGAAAGTCAAAATATACCCTCTAAGAGGCTCGTTATTGGCCCCATAGCCCTTTGCAAACCACTCAATACGCGGGTACAGTTTGTCTTTGCAAAGGGCTTGGAAGACTTTGGGTGCTGATACAAGAGATGCTAATGCTGAGGATAGAGTGGCTGCAAAACATCCAGCATAGATCAATGAGCCTTCCAGTGAAGCCAATTCGATCACCTATAAACAGAAAAAAAAGTAACAAAATATTTGATTTAATAATATTCACTTACTTGGAAACTATTCTGCAATCCATAAGTGCAATTTGGCTTGCATTTAGATAAAGTACCATGAAGCAGATCTGTTATATTTCCACTGGCGTCTCTTAATACGGTACCACCAGCAAATGTAGCCATAATAATGTAGGATAAAGTAGTAATCAAAATGGCTATTAGTGTACCTTTGGGTATAGCTTTTTGTGGATCCTAAAAGCAAATATTTAAAGAATGTTGTTGATGTTAAAACAGTTACCTACCTTAAGGTCTCCTGATATGTTGGCTCCAGCCAAAATTCCAGTAGCCGCTGGAAAAAATACGGCAAACACTTTGAAAAATTCATATTGGACTCCTTCGATTTCTCTGTAGTCGGGAAACATGTTTTGCCAAATGACAGTACCTATAATGGAACAAGATTTAATATAAATTATTTGATACTTATTTTAAGAAATAATTTACTGTTAAATCCCACAAATCCTCTAGCTTTCACCTTGTCGCTTCCTGGTCCAATGAGACACCCAATCAAGAAATCCAGAATGGCTATTAGCAAAATTACTAGCAAAACTAGTTGAGCCTGGAAATTGAACATGATTATTAAATATTCAGAGTACTACACTACTTACTTTAGCTTCCCATGCCATTCCGACTACAACAATAACAGTTAGCACAACCAAAGTAATGCAACCGATAATTCTGACATCGTTGACGCTATTATCCACAATCGAAACTCCAAAACTTTTCAGTAAGTCCTGCAAAGACTCGCAAAATCCTACCACGTACATGGCGCAAGCTACGGCGTTGGCCAGCGAAAAAATCAGGCCTATTGAACCTCCGAATTCTGGGCCCAAGCTTCTGGATATCATATAATAAGTTCCCCCTAGTGCGAAGATGTTTTAGTGTTTTGTTAGGGTTGATTGTAAAGGTGCTTACCTCCTTTGATTACTCCATTGGTACTGATGGCGGACATCGATAGGGCAGTTATCGAGGTTACGATCGTAGTGATGAGGATTAGTAGGATTGCTTGAGCTAGAAATGATAGGATTTGTTGATTTTGTTTTGGTTTAGTTGATTGTAGTTAGAGGCTCTTGCAGTCCTTTGACCATTCGAAAGTAGCCACATGTTTAGTAATTTTCTGCAGTCAAACAGGCTCAAGTTACAGTCACTTCTTGACTTCAATTTCTGTATTTAGAAGCTAGAGACTAATATAAGAGGTAAAATCAGTCAGAATTGCCATAAGCAAAAATCAAGAGAAACAGGCTGAAATTAACCATCTTTTTGGAGGCTAGGAACTGCTATGAAGACCAAAAGTTTCTGTAAGGTGCTACCCCGTGTGATACCTCCTTTGAAAGGTTTTTCTTTCCTCTTTAGAGGCGTGACCATTTCATTTCAGCTACAATATGAGAACATGATCACTTGACTTTTCATCTAGAAAACATAAAAACAATTTTGCCTGGCAAAGTTGAAGAGCATTCAGCTATTATTAAAGCCACATTAGGCTAAATTCACTTGAAACCACGTTGTGCAGCTGACACCCAACAGCAAATCACAATTCAACCATTTCTCGCCGGTATTCGGTAGTGCCCCACTGCTACACTTACCTTAAATAGTATAATCGTGCAACAAATGGGATCCTAACCTATTATGGCGGACGGCTTCCCCGGGGGACACCAATTACCAAAAAGAAATAATCAAACCATGATTTGTTGCCCTGGATATCAGTGAAACGCAACTTCAGTTGTTAAGAGGAAGTTATTGAAAACATCTACAGCCAAATGCTTGAAGTCTAATACCAAACATGCTCAACTAGAAGTAGCTTGCCAAAATTCTGATTTGAAGGGCAGTTAGGATCATAGCTTTAGGTAATTATTATTTTTTAATAGCTTATTCCTCCACAATAGTCTACTGCCAAATGACGAATATTAAAATAGATAAGAAAGGAAAAGCAGTACAATAGCTTGTTTAGATTACCCTGGTAGGTACCTTTTTTTCCTACTTCACTGATGATTCATCGATTAGGTATAATAATATTGAAATAAACAAATCCTTCCATCTTTACTTGCTAAAATGCACAAAACATCAATTTCAGATTGTTTCGAAAATGCGATAAAAAACCTTTCGAGAATGATCATTATTCGAGTGGCAAAAATTGCCAAAACTACTTAGTGCAAAACAATTATCTTTTTTTTATGTAGGTACAGGGTGTTTGTTCATAACTGGAACACTCAGTAACTTTTCTATTATTGAAAATAAAGGACATGTTTAAATTGGAAAATTTCTTGGTAAATTGCAACGATCTTAATCCCTACAACGATATTTTTTTGTCGCCATAGGTATACAGGGTGCGCCAAAAAAGTCATTTTTTCAAATAGAACGACCTGTATATTTTTGCATTTTTAAAATTCTTAGAAAATTAGCTTCACAAAAATATCAAACACTACTGGATAACAAAAATATATAGGGCGTTCCATTTAAAAAAAAAAAAATACCCTTTTGGCATATCCTGTATACCTATGACGACAAAAAATATCGTTATAGCAATTAGGGTTGCAATTTATCAAGAAATTTTCCAACTTAAGCATGCTAATCATTTTCAATAATAAGAAAGTAACTGAGTGTTCCAGTTATAAACAAACACCCAGTATCTACTATACATATACTTATTATGCATCAGATAATATGTACACTTGGCCAAACATAAAGCTGGTACAGGCAATATATATTTTTTAAATTTGCCTAATATAAGTCAGGCTTAACAACAAAAAGTCTGTTCTGAAAAACTTAGTTCAGATAGTTTTTGTCAACGTCAAACTTGAACAAAAGTAAATGCAACATGTTTTTATATTATGATTGGTTTAAATATGACACTGACTTGACTCTTTTTGTCATTGTTGAGGTGATAAAAAAGGTCGATTTACACAATACAACACAATAGGAAAATGCGTACCAGTTTTATGTTTGGCCAAGTGTACTGGTATTACTATGTAGATATATAACTCTTCAATCGATCTACACTGACCAAATATATGTCCAATTCAACAACGTTAAATGGACGCTTCATAGACATCCTAATGCAGGGTATTTTTTCTGACTGGTTTTACATGGTAACTTTTGAACCTGTTGGTTACATAAACGTTCACTACGTGATGTCCCAAACAAGTCATATTTTGCAACCTCTTTCCGACGTCGAATTTTGGTTAATCGACGTAAATCTATTTAAAATCGACGTCATAACGACTAACCTTTGCTGCTTGGGATGTTTGTTCGAATAGGATGAAAAACCTGCTGGAAAACATCCTCCAGCATTTTAAATGTTTGAATGGATTTGGATCAGACGACTTTTTCGCAGATATGTTTTTGTATTAAACTCGTATTCGCTAACATCCTGTTGGTCACTGGATAATTGATTGACCAATGGGATTACATATTGCGTTTTTATCCGTCAGATTGCATTACCTGACAGCTTGCCTAACAGTTTATTAGAAAGTAAATAAACCGGCTCTTGTATACATTAAGAGGCTCTTGAAGATCTGGGAATAGACAAAAACTTGAGAATTGAAAGGCAGACATTAAGGGAAAATGGAGTTAATATAAGTAGACTTAAGTACCTATATGTTGTTTCTATTTCAGGCTCTTGAATTTTCTTTATGTGGAGATATTTAAAAATAAACAATTCAAGAGCCGGCAATAGACAAAAATTTAAACAGAAAACTTTGAGAATTGAAAAGCAGAAATTTAGGGAAAATCGAGTAGATAAGTAGACTTAAGTATGTTGTTTCTATTCCAGGTTCTTGAATTTTCTTTATGTAGAGATATTTAGAAGAAACAAGAAAGAAAGAGAAGAAATTTAAGGAAAATTTCCAAAAAGCATAAGTATCTGCGAGAAGAAAACCATCATTCGATTATTTCACAAATTTAATGGGTTTGCCTAGGTATTCTCTGATATAAAGTAAAAGCTTAAGCTTTCGCAGATATAGTTTAGAGCTGAAAGATTGCCTAAATGAATTTCCAGATAAGGATGAGATTGATCAATCCGCCGACAAACTACGTGAATCAGGGATAAGGTCAATCCCTAGCCCTAGGGAATCCGGAGGCCTGAATGCTAGGTAGGTACTAGGTCGCGAAGCAGGTGAATGAGGAAAAGCCTAGAAAGGCTGTAATGACCTTAACTATCATGAACTTTTCCCTTCTGGGACTGGAACACTTCTAATAGAGTAGACATGTAGGTAAGTCCTATGATTGGACATTTAAGTTATCCGTAACGTACACTCAAAAAAAAGTAGTACAAAAATTATTAATCCCAATTTGAGTTGTGTAACATACGAATTTTGACAGTAAATGAACATTTCAAAATATGTTAAGTTCAGGCAATTAGGCAATTCCATCAATCTGTCAAAAAGGAAAATTCAATATGGCGTGGCGGCCAAGCAAGTTTGTTTTGAATATGTTTTTATGCGTATTTTAAATTATTTTGCTTAGAGTTTTGCTTGAAACTTTGATTTTGATTATTTAATAAAATATTTGTTGACTAGGTATCTAAACTATTGAATCGCGCAGAAATTATATATTTTTTTGTATTTTTTGGCCCATGTGTGGCCGCCACGCCATCTTGAATGTCACGTGGTTTGAATTGCCTAATGATATATTCTAGGTTAGAAACGGGTGGAAAAATGCCAAAGTGATGTCATCTAGCTGAAGCTTTCTAGATTACAAACTTGACGAAAAATGCCAAAAATATGTCATTTTTGGTTATGAATTAAGTTAATGTATAATAGACCAGGAGATTTCGGAGATTTTTCTTGTACTACTTTTTTTTTATCGCAACTGTATATGTTACGCCGAATTTTAACATCCAACGATTCAAAGTTCGTATGATGAAAAGTTTTTTCTTGTCTAATTTAACATATCGCCTCAACAGTCCCCAATGACATGCCGTTAAGTGCCCAACGTTTATGTTACCAATATATTTTATTTTTTTAGAGATCCTATTTTGAATAAAGGGATCAATTAATTAACATCATAATACAAGAATTTAGAGAATCAAATTAGGAGGTACTAAGTTATAAACTTCATTATTATTTTATGTTAATCAATTAGGTACAAATCTTTATTAATTAATTTTTTCACCCCTTGAAATTAATTCACTATTTAAGCACTGAATTGAACATTCAAAGAAGGCATATCAGAGATCAAGTAATCCTTTTGAAACTCCTGATGAAGTTTTATTACTAAGTATACTATAGGCTCCCAAAAAAATCGGTGAAGTTTATAATTGCAAGAAGGAGGCCCCATTTTAATATTCCTTAAAAACCAAGGATTTCATCCATTCTAGTTTAACTGAAGGTCTAAATTCTTAGTATATTTGGAACTGTTTTTTTAGTAATGTTTTATTTTTGTGTACGTATGGTCTCCACTGATCAGGGTCCTTATTCTTGAAACCGGGGAACAGCGTTTCCAGGAGAACGAGTGTTCCGTCTTTGTTACTTATATTATCATTTGCATATCAATGAGAAAAACAGAGCGACTAACGTTCTCATGAGAACGCTGATCTCTGTTTTCAAGAATATAGATACCCAGCCAGAAAAAAAAGATTTTCCTCTATACTACAATTTGACAGAAATGACAAGTGACAGTTATATCATGTGAAAAGTATATTCGGGGGTAATACCACGAGTGCTTAAAAATTATCTGGTTAATTTTTAAGCACGAATGGTATTTAGGGAGAATATTCCACGAATTTTATAAAAATTATGGAATAAAATTAAATTTAAATTTGTTAAAGTCGTTAAAATACTTTTCCATGAGCAATTTTGCGGTAACATTCCAGATAACTTTTTCTGTAATGCTTTTTATATTCTTCTCCGGTCCTTTTGCTCATATTATAATAAAGGCCCAGCATGAGTGAAAAATTATCTGGTTCATTTTAAAGCTCAAGTGGTATTTAGAGGATTATTTCACGTATGAGAATGCAAAAAATATGGAAATAAATATGTATTAATCGATTTGAACATCTTAACAATCAATACAAATAAATGGTTGCTATCAGGAACCGTTTGTTTGTATCAAAAATTAGCATGACAACCATGTATACAATAACATGGGAGAATTATCGAATGTAATACCACAAGAGGTTTCAGGATTACCGGATAATACTTTTACCTGTCACGAAACGCGTTACGCAGCAACACCACGACTCCAAAGGAGGAGTTGTGTTGCTAGTAACGTGTTGAGTGTCAGGTAAAAGTATTAGGTAATCCTGAAACATCGAGTGGTATTCAAAAGGTTATACAATGAACTAAACTATAACAGCTGTATGCAAGATCCTCTTTTAACCTAAAAGCGCTTTTTGAAACTGGTCACTTTTAAAAATGTGTATTCTAAACTATACAAATTTTCAAAGGTACCAGTTTTAAAAAGCGCTTCTAAGTTAAAAGAGGATGTTGCATACAGCTGTAATACTTTAAAATTTGAAAAAAAAAATCTATAATAGAATTTGCCATAAATGCCACCAAGCGCGATAATCCCAAAAGGCTTATCACTTATTAAGTCTCTCGTGTCATATGGGAATAATGTACAGTGAGTTGTATAATCGAATGTAATACCACAAGAGGTTTCAGGATTACCGGATACTTTTACCTGTCACGAAACGCATTACGCAGCAACACCATGACCCCGAAGGAGGAGTGGTGTTGCTGGTAACGCGTTGAGTGTCAGGTAAAAGTATTAGGTAATCCTGAAACATCGAGTGGTATTCAAAAGGTTATACAACGAACTAAACTTAAATGCTTTATTAATTTTTATTATTATTAATGACAAATGCCACCAAGCGCGATAATCCCAAAAGGCTTATCACTTGTTAAGCCTCTCATGTCATATGGGAATAATGTACAGTGAGTTGTATAACCGCTGTAATTTTTCGATTTGTCACTTCTCTTATGGGCAAATTTATACATGAGTGAAATATTCTAAGATGTAAAATGAGCAACATTATATCTCGGTTTCTCAATTATCACAGAAACAAGATAAATTGTTAATATTTTCTTATCACAATTGTATCATGAGAGAGGGGGACACCAAGATGTAAGACATACGAGAAAAATCTCAAAGTTAACGTTTGTCTAGAAAAACATGTTTGTGTAACTTGTATTTATGGAAAAGCCTGTTTCGCCCATCATTTGGTACTAAAGATAATGAAACCTTACTTGTAGAGCTAATGTCAACTGATATTTGTCGATTATCTAAAGTGTCATGTAAGAAGAAAAGGTATTTCCTCAATTTGAAATTATTATGTTAGGTAAGTTTCGATATGGATATTTATTTTCAAGAGAAAAGTCTAAAGCGAAAGCTGTTCTAAGAGACATGATCACCTATGCCTCTAACCAAGGACGTAAGATTAGAGAGCTATTAGGTAAGAAAAATGGACAGAAAGGCAATCAAAAGGACACCTTCTTGATTATGATGGTATAGAAAGATATAAAATTCGGGTTAAAGAAGAATCAAGGGTAATTTTGTTTTGTCTAGGGATGTCAGATTTTAGGAAAGTTGATTAACTGTGAAACTCCTCTTGGGTTAACAAATGGGTAGTTCAGAAATCACTCTTGTAGGTCCTAAGCGTGGATGAAGGAGGAAGGTTGGGCGTGAGGTCGACAACCTCACCCTGGAAAAACATCGTTGTTATGAATCCGAAATACGGGACGGATACCTCAGGCAAACAAATATTGAATACGCCTTGGGAATATATTGACGCTGAATAAACCAGGCGCCCAGATGTCGCTACTAAATGAGCTCAAAAAATATAGAATATTACTGGAGGCGACTCAGGGAACAAAATGACTTGGAAATGGAAGGGCGCAAAAACTCATACAATTTTATACAGCGCAAAGGAGACCGGGAAGAAAAAGTTCGGAGTTGCCTTCATTGTGGACAACAGGATTAAACACAACATACTGGAATTTAAGGCGATAGATGAGAGGGTGTGCAAACTGAAGTTAAAATCTAGGTTCTTCAACCTAGAGTTATCATCAATGTCTATAGCCCAACAGAAGAAGAATCTTACTTTGAAGGGATGAGGGAGCAATGGGTTAGGATAGACAGTGAAAAGTCATCTGTGTTGTGTTGAACTTAAAATCTGGCGTTCCTCAGGGGTCACTTTTGGGTCCAGTTTTATTTGTTATGTTCCTGAATGACATAAGTTATCTACCCATCAAAGCTAAACTTACTTCTACTAACGAAATAAAAATGAAAATAAATCAAAAACAGGGTGAAATTTTCCCAATTACCACTCACATTTATGTACTCTTGGATGTTTCTGGTCCCCTAGGAATGCTTCTTTATATTTTAAGTAAAACTAAGTCGCTGTCCTGAAGAAGGCAATAAAGAGTTGCCGAAAGCTCGACTAAGTAATAAATGTTTTAATTTTGTCCCTGGTCCAAAAGACTTTGACTGCAACCCCACGAAGAGGATTTTCATTCTTGAAAATGTTCATTAGTTTGTGTTCTATAGGTACTAGTCAGTGACGATTCCCATAATCTATTGTTATTTTATATGTTATCTATTCCCTGTTAGCATAGCATAACATAACAGGTTTGTGTTAATTTTAACGTAAACGTTCAATCATAGGACCGAGTATGCTACTATTTCCTATTCCAGGTAGTAGACAAAATTTGAGAATTGGAAAGCAGAAATTTAGGGAAAATTGAGTAGATAAGTAGACTTAAGTATCTTTTGAATTTTCACTGTTTGGAGACACCTCGCAGCTTACCACAATGATCAGTGTGTCGTCAAAAGGACGTCCAATATTGGACCACTTTGGTCTCATACGACTTTTGTCCAAAATAGAACGTCGTATTGAACAAATTGTCACCCTGTATGTCCGACGTGGCCTGAATGAAAACATCATTGCCGGGCAGTTATATGCCCGACGCGGCATGTAATGTGTTAAGGGGCGATTTATATTTTCTTTGGGAAAAATGTTGGAGGGATTCTCAAGATTATTTTTGATAGCTTTAGAAAAAGTCTCTAGTCTCTGAGCAATTTTTAGCCCTCCGAATTATTGCCAGAAGCAAAAATCAACTCAAGATTGATTCCTGCCTTTGAAAGCCAAAATATTGTTTTTAGAGGCTCTTGTAGCCATTCAGTTAGTTGAGAATAGTCTCTTTTTGCCAGTTTTATTATTTACGGAATAGCCAATTACCTATATTAGTTTTAATTAATTAGAAACCCGAAAATTGTACCTATTCCTGCTTGTCCTACGACCCAAGACAATCTGAGAAACAGCATAACGCCCCATATATTTAACAGGCATCGTATCAGAACTCCTTGAATCCATCCGAACTTCAATTGACCTGGAATAGTGTCCGATGTTTTCGATGGTTCCGATTTAGAATCTTGTTCCGACTAAAACAAAAAAGGATTCAATTACAATACGTCTATTATCATCTAAAAAACTAAAACGTAGCAATTAATTACCATTATGAAATAATTAGCAGCATACATTTCTAATTACTCGTAATTGTTAATTAGCCTGAAAGACCTTTTGATAATTGAACATACCTACCTACACGTTTTTCAATTAATTTCTCAATGAATCATCCAATAATTATTATTGTTAATGATAATAGGGAATTGCTTACTTTTGGCATTGTTGCATTATGGAGTTCATCTAAAGTAGGCCTGTTGGCTGCTTGAATTGACATAATATTTCGGTAATTGTCCAGTCTTGGTAGAGCTTCTCTAGTAAGACGTCTATAAAAGAAAAATTACTTCCATTGTTGTGTTGGGAGAGGCAAATATAAAACAAAAAAAGAGTCCCACCTTAAACTCCTATTCTGAGCATATTCGACGCTGAGTCTAGTTTTATCTGTAGCACTCAGAACGTCATCGTCTTCGCTCAGACTTTCTTCCATATTGTGATTCCTGTTTTTCAGATCTTCGTATTTGTGGCAGCTTTCGGTTCGTACACGGTTCACTTGGAATCTGGTGCGTTTTTCCGGAGAGGGTCGTAAAAAATCCATTTCCAACTCGAGCGTATCTGGTTTCGTGTCTAATTGGCCGTTACTTATTCGAAGCGCCATGATCGAATTTGTCTGAAAATAAGGCCGGGTTTATTCATCTTCAGATAAACTTGCTGGTAACTATCTGCGCGAAATAAACCTACCGTTCTATAATTCTATTGGTTGGCGGATAACTGGCCGACTAATAAGATTACAGATTGCGTTTTTATCCGTCAGATTGCATTATACCTGACAGTTTATTAGAAGGTGAATAAACCGACCCTAGTTTATTAAAGGAATCATGGTATTATTGTCTCTCAAATGACAAAAATTATCTTCTGAGGCTAGTGAAACGAATAAGTGTTAAAGACATAAATTCTTTCTGAGAAAAGTGTAATGATCTGATTCTGAGCGAAATTCACGAGAAAGTATAGGAAGTTAAAATATACACCATGATTTACGTAGCCTGTGCATTAGAACTTTGAAAAAAACAAGAATTGTGTAACATAATTCGTTATTTATTGATATCTCAGCCCCTTTATTTCATGATATTTTCTTATTCTGTTTGTATTGGATTGTGATATTTTATATTTGTCTTACTTAGCTTGTGATATTATATTTGTATTAAAAGCTATTCTGTTTGCCTGACCAGATTGAAATACGTATATGGAAAAACGTGATTATCGAAAAATAAAAATTAATTTTTCACCTTTTTCGCCGATGAATAATTCAAATTATCCCGGCGGCTGATTATTGAACAAGGAAATTTTTAAGTGCCTAATTAAAAATTTCATTAGTTAACATTTTTATTGTAAAAAATGTGCATAATCTGAAACGTCGTTATGATAATACAATAATAAGTCGTGATTATGTATAATTTTCAGTATTTGACAATAATTTATTTCAACAATTTTTTCTCGAAGCAATATTGGTAAAATCCCTGATAAATCACCTTCTGAAAAATACTTCAAACAATCAGAACGGCTTCAAACTTTCAGGAAATATTAATCAGGGTCTTTGGTATTTTTATCACATGAAATATAAGTAGGAAGTAAATGAAATCTGGTTCACTTACCCCTAAAATTAACACAAAAATTCACCAGTTAGCAATAATTCAACACACACAAAATATAAATAATAATAAATATTTATATACCCAAATACATAGTTAATTCAAATTAAATTAGTCAGATACATTTTATCAGCGACCAAAACCTACACATGTTGTGCAAATTAATGTGATTGAATTCCGTTTATTTTGCATTTGAATAAGCAAAAATTTTAAAATAGGCAAAATCAAACACTTACCTTGCAAAACACGCTACAACTGAACTGATGCACTTTTCATGAATGAAACACTACTGATGCCATTCGAACGCACCTACATAATTAACAAAGATTACTTTTAATTTTAACGGTTTTCAGTGGTTACTAGTTTATCGCCGTGCATAAAATCAAATAAATTCGATAACAGTTGTTTAACAACGTGCACCGTGACGTGGTAATTGCATATGAGCCTGAAAAGGGGTTAAAAGTGTTCGTTCTTTGTGGGTTAAAAACGCGGCTATAGTGAGAACAGGTTTTTTTTGTAATTGGGATTTTCAATGAATAAATGATTTACCCTTTGTTCAAGGCCATATTATCACAAAAGTTACGACCAAACTAACATTATTATAGAATTATAATCACAACACAACTCACTGTCTTACTATATCGACTCACGTTCACTTAACTATTTTTCTATTTTGTTCTCAGGCTGCAGCTTTTTTGAAAAATTGTCTGGCTATTTTCGTAGATGCGCTTTATGAAGAAGCTATGGACAATATTCTATATTTAAAACCTTTTTTTTCTATTCTAATATTCTGTAGTTGCCTCAATATTTTGATGTAGGTACAGTCTGATGAATAAACTGATATGCATATCAATGAACCAGCTTTTACTTTAACTTATTTATGTTGCAGCTATCAATGACTGAATGTGTTTATATTGGTTTTTATGTAAGATAAACAAATAAAGAATTGTTTACTTAAGAAAGGGTTTGTAATTCTTTTGCTTTTGATGTTAGTCCAAGATAATTGTCGTTTGAGAAAAAAAAAAAATTAGGGGCTAGCTGATTTTTTCAGGATTGTTCAAGGGGGGTATCCTGAGTGTAGGAACACCGGAATCAGAAACTTTCGTCTTCCGCGTCCTTATAGCTATATGGGTTGAATTGTTTCACAACATTGTGCTACAACTGAATTTTTGGTCTCTAATTCTAGATAATCAGATTCTCTACAAAAAAAAATTGTATAGGAAAAAGTTTTAGAGAATCCGATTATCTACCATTAGACCAAAAATTCCATTGTAGCACAATGTTGAGAAATAACCCCTATAGCTAAGGGCGCGGAAGACGTAAGTTTTTGATTTCGGTGTTTTTACACTCAGGACACCCCCCTTGAACAATCCTGAGAAAATCAGCTTGCCCCTAATTTTTTTCTTTTTCACGCCTTCTGAAAATATAGGGCTTTCATTTCAAAACTTACCACCCACCTTATCTGCGTAAAAAGGCATATTTGCGGAAATCGCCGAAACACATCAACAAATTTATTGAGGGGTAAAATTTTCTACGTAAAACTGGACTTCGCCCCTTCAACTCCTTAAGCCCTAGGCGGCTACCTCCCCAAAATTTTCAAATGAGACAAGGGTTCGAGTGATAGATTATTTTAAAGGGCTGTTCAATCTTCATTTTGCCGCCTTATTTTGCAAATTTGACCTCAGTGTTGCAAAAAAAAAAAACACCCATTTCAATGTTTAAAAATGCCTATTTATCCCTAAACACACCTGCTTAATTACCTGTTGCTGTAATAAAAAGGTAGGTAAAGAAGCAGGTGTGTTTGAAAATATAGGCATTTTTAAAAATTGAAATGGGTGTTATTCTGTAACACTGAGGTGGCTGAGGTCAAATTCAGAAAATAAAACGACAAAATGTACCTGTATATATACATACTTTGCAACATTTGTCCCATATACATAAAATTATCAAGCAGTTGTTCGCTTTGGGATTTCAAAAATTCTAGCTTTTTTAAAACCTTAGTGAGCATTCACACCAAAGTAGCATATGTGACGTGCGACTTGCTGCTAGAAAGCAGAAAGCACGCAAACTATCAAAATATACGACACGCCACTCCGGTGTGCAACCTGCCATATACATTGTGTGCAAGATAAGGAGGGCCAGTATGGGGATCTGGGGAAAAATAAAATCGTTTTGGGTTTTTCTGGATATCTCCGGTATTACTCGGAATATTTCAAATATCAGTGCGGTATTTCAATGAGCACAAAATTTCGCAACTTTTTTCTGATTTAAGCAACGTCGTATCTTCCACTGTTTACGAGATCCCCATACTGGCCCTCGATCCCTATCTTGGACATGTTGTATAAAGGTTCTAATAAGTAGAATGCTTCTTGCTTTCTGGCAGCAAGTCGCACGTTGCATGCTACTTTGGTGTGAATACCCACTTATAGAGTCATTTCCTACATAGCACGACCACTGAGAAAAACCGAAATCACCTGTCACAATATTAGGACCCACATCCTTCGATCCTCACCAGGCATTTTTTGTTTCTATCTTGTTCTGGGTTGTTTTAGTACCATATCAATAAATAAATATCTATTTTGCTGTATCAAGAATAGAATCCGGAAAGCGCTCTTTAAACTTTTGGTGTGTTGCGCAAAAGGCGCTTTATGCTTAACGATTAGTACAGTGGCTAAATAAACCTTTACATACAGTGGGACAATAGAGGTTCCGCCGCCATTTTGTTCCCAACCTTTTGTTCAGGGGCGTAGTCACCGGTGTTCCGTGTGTTCCCCGGAACACGGGCCCGGTACCTCAAGGGGCCCGGTTATAGATGTCGATATTATGTTTCTCTCATTAAGTAAAAAAAATTACATTTTACACATTTGACTCTAATTTATATAAAAATAAAATAGTTATTTATGATATATAAGTGCTAAAAGTGACATTTTATTTTGTGAAAAGGGAAGTTTGGACAAAATAAAATCACTTTTAGCACGAATATCATACACTATTTCTTCTACAAACGCACTAAAAGTGATTACTTTTAGCACTCAGTGCTAGAAGTAATCACTTTTAACACCAGTGTCATAAAATGGCATTTTAGACACTGACAGCATCCGTTAAAAATGGCACTTATAGTGACGTTTGTAGAAAAAAATAATATATCTATATCGACGTAGGTAAAGTCTTCATTTCTTTCATTCTTATACAGGGTGAGTTACTAAGCGCGCGGTCGTCCATATCTCCTATACTAACGGAGATCGAAGAAAAAACTAAATACAAAACTTGTAGGTAAATATAAGTACTACATTCCTAAATTATTTTCCAGTATATAGGGTGGCCCAATAACTAGTAGTGACACAAAGTTATGTTTTTTTAAACGACTCTCCCTGTATATTATGACATTTCTGGATTCTGCGGAAGATTCTAGACATATTTCATGTACAATGTCATATACCTATCTTCAACCGTTTCGGAAATATTGACAGTTGAAAATTGACTTTTTCGCATCTTTGACAAACTGTAAAACCTAAACGGTTAATTTTAGAGGAAAACAAATTTCACATTCCTATCTTAGATTTTGATAAGCTATCATTTGACACCAACTTTGAATTTAACCAAGGATTAATAATTTAGGCGGAATTTTTAATCATGGATTAAATTCAAGGTCGATGTCAAATGATAGTTTATGAAAAACTAAGATGGGAATGTAAAATCCGTTTTCTTGTAAAATTAACCGTTCAGGTTTTACAGTCTGCCAAAGATGCAAAAAAGTCAATTTTCAACTGTCAATATTTCCGAAACAGTTGAAGATAGGTATATGACATTGTACATGAAATATGTCTAGAATAATTTAGGAATGTAGTACTCATGTTTATCTACAAGTTTTGTATTTAGTTTTTTCTTCGATCTCCGTTAGTATAGGAGATATGGACCCCTGCGCGCTCAGTTACTCACCCTGTATAGACTTATAATGATTTCTTCTATTCTTTTATGAAAACTTTTCAAATTCATTAGTACAGCCGAATCACTCCATAGTATGCCAGGATTGCCAGGTATGCTAACTCAAGATCCTGCAATCCCTGCGTTTTGGTTTGTTGTGCTATGCCCTCTAAATTAGGTGAGTTATAAATTTCAACATAGGGGCCTCAATAGCGAGTTACCTCCGGATTGGTTTTAACTCCAGGGTAAGCGTGTAAAATTGCAATGTTTACCCTGGGGTGCGTTCAAAGACGGCGATGCTAATGCCAAAACCTACTTTTCTCCCTCCACCGGTAATGTTATACTACGTAGGTTGGAGCCTAACTCGAACGCAAAATGCCAATTTTGGCTTGGCTGTAGCCATTCCTGAACGCAGCCCTGGGTGACCCGGCTAACCCGGGGGTGACTTGCTATTGAGAAATCGGCACTAAGTGTATTTCTGGTATAATATGCATATGTTTAGAATTTTCCCAAGAATCCGGAAATGTCATGATATATAGAAGGTACGATTTAAAAAAATAAAGTTGATAATGGTACAGCTAATTTTGGAACAACCTGTATAAAAAAAATGGTGTGAAAAAATATCAAGCAAAAAAACAAAATTGACGTGTCCGAGCGGTTTTTCCGAAACGCCTCCATTTATTTTATAGTGAATATGTTCCATACTTTTGGTTCACCCTGTATATTTGAAAAAATAAATAAATTATATCTCTTTGATTTTCCAATTATTTCATCTCGCAGGAGTATGGAACTATCCAAGATGCTGTCAAACTTGAATTAAAATGGCCGCCAAGAGGTACACAAACCCTTTTTTTATGTGTCATTCATTGTGTCATGAAATTTTCAACGCCACTGCTTTTGTTACTTTTAAATATTAATATATAGGATTTAAATGGACATCTATCATAAAAAATTGAAATGGACGTATTTGATGATTATTATTAGGTCTATCAAATACGTTGTTTTCCATGTTTTATGATGGATATTCACCCAAATCCCATATATTCATATTTGAAATAAGCAATAGGTGGGAACAAGATAGCAATGTTTTCAATATAAATATATGGGATTCTAGAACCAATCAAATATAAGTGTGGGTAATAGAGTCACTGTAACGATTAGTGGCAGATTGCGCCCTTTTTAGAGGCTCGGGATAAGGTGTATACTCCAGTCCAAAGTTCTCAAACTGAACCTAACTAGAGATCTCGGCTCCATGCCAAATGTCGTCCAAACGGAAATTATTGGCATAACCATCGCTGCAAAACAGATAATCAGCAACAATATCACTGACAAAATCGTGCACATCCACACGAACTACAGAAAAACCAGTACTAGCTCTATCTATACCACGACTTACATCAGAACTAGTACAACATTGCCACCATAACCACACGGGGGTAGTCAGCTAGATCAAGGAATCGGGTCAATCGGGCTGCCGATGCTCAGGCTAGAAGGGCCGCCAGGCTACACCCTTATGAACAGGAGCCCTTCGTAGGGCTGACCATGCCGGCAGCCAGAGATATGTTGAAAAAACGCTCCCATGCCCAGTGGCGTAACTACAGGGGGGCCAGGCCCCCCCTAGACGTCGCTAGCCCCCCCTAGACGTCGCTAGCCCCCCCTAGACGTCGCTAGCCCCCCTAGACGTCGCTAGCCCCCCTAGACGTCGCTAGCCCCCCCTAGACGTCGCTAGCCCCCCCCCTCCAGAAAAAACATTAATAATTTGGTATTTTATGAAGTGCCATTGTGCCAGCCAAAGGCCCGTGCAAATTGCAATATGCAGAAGTGATATACCAAAGCCATTAAATTAGCATTAGCAATATAAGCGATTAGTTTGGGAGTTTGACTAAATATATTTCCTGTGAATTCGTGGTTGCTGATGTATATCTACTAATTCTTCTATACAGTGGCTGATAAGTTGGGTTAGCT